CAATAAACAAAAACTAAAAATTCTTGAAGTTATATACATAAAACAGTTGAAACCTAACCTAAACAAAATAAACTATGAAATCTCCACAAATATTCTTAAATGTCTACAATTGGTAACAGAAGCCATTGGTTTATACCAATGGCTTCCCATACTTAATACTTCTCGATTTCACTCTCGCGTGGTCATGTGTGACGTCATGAGCTGCGGTGCGATTTTCGCTTTCAGCGTCTTATATGCACGTGTATGCTTGGAAATCATCCATGTAAACAATAACAGACTATCGTCACTGTCTTGTGCATATATTGCTTAATATATTGTACTGTAATTGACATATTTGATAATGGCTTATGTAAGCCGAAAGATTTGATTGGATTAAAAAATATGGATCAATATTGTGATTTTATTTCTTCGTTTAATGATAATGTTATTAAGCTTATCAGACGTTATGAAAAGAATTTACATAAAATAAATAGACAACACTTGCCTATATTATTTAATGAAACATGTATGAATATATATATATATATATACGAGGTAACCAAAAAAGTTATGTCCGTTTTTTGATTAGTCATTGAATGAAGTTAAAATATATACGAAATATGTAGCAATTGTTTTCAAATTCGGACAGCCGGAAGTAGGAACATCAGACGTTATAAAAAACACACGCACCGTGCCCTGCTATCACTTATAAGCCGGACAGCTGTGAGAAGGATAGAAGTGTCTAGAGATCTCGTTCGGGGCTGTTTGCTTTACGACTTCAGCAGCTGCATCAAGTCACGCATATGTCAAGCGTCTGGGGATAGTGCTGTGGATGAACGTATTGCAAGGTGTTGGTTTCGAAAATTCAAGTCGGGAGATTTGTCTCTCCATGTAATGAGTCTCGCAGTGAACGACCACAGGTCTTGAATGACGGAGTCCCGAAGGCGGCCATTGAAGAGGACAGTAGTCTAACGTGTGGTGAACTTGCAAGACAGTTCAACGTTTCCGATTAAACAGTTATACCTCACCTGCACCGCCTAGGTAAGACGTACAAACTGAGCAAGTGGGTTCCACAAACGCTGTTGGAGGTCCACAAGGGACAATGAGTGGCAGCCTGCGTATCACTGCTTTCTCGCCACCGTACCGCATCCTAATTCAATCGAGTGCTTACCAGTGATGAAAAGTGAGTTCTGTACGAAACTCCCAAGCGTTCCAGACATTGGTTGTCTCCTCAGGATACTGTCCCTCACACCGCAAGACCGCCCATGCACCCACGCAAGATTATGCTTTGTGTCTGGTGGACAGGTCATCGAGTGGTTCATTATGAACTGCTACCAACGGGCCAAACGGTCACTGGAGACCTATAATCACAGCAATTGAAACATGTGCAACAGGCATTGCGCCAGAAGGAGCCAGCACTGGTGAATAGCAAAGGTGTGCTTTTCCTCCATGACAACGCCAGGCCGCATGTCGCGCGAGTAGTCAGGGATACCATACAGCAATTTGGGTGGGAGACATTGTGCCATCCACCTTATTCACCTGACCTTGCACCATCCGATTACCACCTCTTCCACTTTCTGGATAATCATCTTCGTGGGAAATCCTTCACCAATGAAGCAGACTTGCGCAAAGCCCTCACGGACTTCTTTGCGTCACCCCCCCCCCCGCCGCCCCGAGTTCTACCGCAAGGGCATTGAACAGCTGGAGACACGTTGGCAGAAGGTGCTGGATGCCGATGGCGATTACTTTGAAAACTAAATATAAGTTACACATACTGCGAAGCGTTTTCTTTTTTCCTTTAAAAACGGACAGAACTTTTTGGCTACCTTGTATATATATATATATATATATATATATATATATAGTTAACGCGGGTAGAGTCGTGGTTATCGGCGCAGTACACTGGATCAGACGGTGGTTTCTCTTACAAATGGACTGTGCCTTTCTTTATTAAGTTTTCTCGGGTCCGTAGACCGATAGATGGAATACACACGATTTAAGAAATGGGGCGTTTACTTAAAAGCAGGCATCCATTAAAAAATTCAAAATAACGTTTAACTATATATATATATATATATATATATATATATATATATATATATATATATATATATACAATTATTAAATTACATAACCCGGCAGCCAACAAGGAAAGTAATGCTACAAGTTTCAGAAAAAACTTGTTTTAAGATAAATAATAACAGCTATAATGAAATCAAACATAATCCAAATACATAAAGCGATATTAAAAACACCTTGAATGAACCTGAATATAATAAAGTACAAGAAAAGAGTGATTTCTGTCCAAATGCACAATTATGTACACACACACACACACACACACACACACACATACGCACACACACACACACACACACACACATATTTTTGCTCTGAAAAAGTCGGAAGACGAAACGCGTCGGCAAAATCTAAGTTTTTTTTTCCAATTGTCATTTTATACCAACCTGTCTTGTCCACAGAATTCATCTGGGAATTTAACTATATTGTCGACATGGAAAAAAAAATAATCCATTGCTATAAAAGGTAATTTACATTAACCAGAAAAAAGGCTTCGACAGAAGCGTCTATCCTTTAAATTTGGATTTTTTAATGTAACTATAACAACAAAGACATTTCGATTTCATTTTTGCCTTGAAAAAGTTGGAAGACGAAACACGTCGGCAAAATCTAAGATTTTTTTCCAATTGTCATTTTATACCATATATATATATATATATATATATATATATATATATATATATATATATATGATGTATCAAAATACTTTTACAAACTTTGGTGGCGAGTTCCTGATACCAAAACATGGTAAAATACAGCAACTTATAACAAATGTTCAAAATGTCCTTGCTTCTACACTGGCATGCCAACGTCGGATCATTGACTGGCAGACTCTTTCAAATACTCCCACACGGTGTCGATTGGTTTCGCAGGCCTCCATGGCGCGTTGATGAAGCATCGTTGCATTATTAATGTCTAGTGCATAAACCAATTGTTTTAGGTGGCCCCACAGATAAAAATTCTAAGAATTGAAGACGGGAGAACGTGTAGTCCATCGAAACGGTCCTCCCTACCTATCCATCTTTTGTGATTGCATCGCGAACACTAAAATGTGTTAGAGTCCCATCATGTATGAACCACATGCGTCTTCGTATTAGCAGGAGTACATCTACAAAATCTGGAAGTGTGTTCGAAATAAAGTCCCTGTACACAACCTCTGTAAGACATACGGACCTACCAGAAAGTCACCTACAATCCCAGCCCACACATTAATTGCAAACTGATGGTGATACCGATCAACTCAAAAATGTTGTGTAAATTTGTTATTCCATCTCTTCCAAATATTGCCTCATCCGTGCAATAAACGATCGGCAAAGGTTTTCTCGTGGTGAGTGATCAGAGGGCGAAAGACACTGCACACGTTACAAATGATACGGATGCAGGAGATTCTCTTGTATCCGTACCTTCCATGCGGTACTATGTGATGTACGACTCACTAGAGTCACTTGACGTGTGCTGCTACCTGGATCGCCTCCAACAGTCTGTAGAATGTGTTGGATCATGTCTCAGCAACGCGACGATAAACAGCAGCAAATGTTGGGTGATACAGCTGCGCGTCCATTATCATGAAATCATGGAACCGGAAGAGTTTTCCACAAGTGGGAAGTGCGAAAAAAGAAACAGCATATAACTTAATGTTACATCTATCCGATTTTGAGACCTTGCAGCCAATCAAGTACTGCGCTTAAATTCATAATGCCTAGGTACCACAACGAAGTGGTCAACCAATTACAATGAAAGTATATATAATGAAGACACATGAAGCAACTTTACGGCGGTGGGAAAATGACTGAAGACGAGACTCCAGACTAGGAACTTACAAATAACAGCTTTCGGGATTCATTTTCGTCGTTCTTCCGGCAGTGGTCTAGTGGACTAAATCCTACGTTAAGTTATACGGTGTTAGTTCAATCTCTATAGCAGGTAGTGAAAGTTATATACGTACATTCAATGCCAAAAAAAAAAAAAAAGCGGTATGAATTGACTAACAAGATTTAACTAATACGATATATCGACAAGTATGGACAACATAATGAGAATAATTTTGAGCTGTGAATTTCGGTGTGAAATTCCGGGTTAACGAATACGACAAATATATGAAGAAGATTGAAGATTAAATTGGTTGAAACGTTGTGCTTACTTATAACAAGTCATTGTTCTGAATATAACATTTCATACAAGACTATATTAATAATGAAAACATCTACTTTTGTATGTTTCGCTTAGTCTGACACAAGGTCATAAAAATGGTAATATCAGCCGTTTCCTTATAAAGACACATTCGGCATTCATTGACTAAGCAGATAGTGTTACTTTCGGCTGAAATTTGTCAATTCTTTTTAATACAATTTTTCAGAAATATAAGTTTCTCAAGTTCAGTAAATGTCTTTATAGTATAGATGGCGGTTTCATTAACCTTTTATTTGAAGTCGTGCGAAATATCAACATCTTGATTATAACATTATTTTCTCTTCGAGTTACATGCGTTAGCCATTTTAGACTTTGCTGTTGTTGAAAGTCCTCAAGTGATATTTTTTTCCTCTTATTTGGTACAATTCTTTGTTTGTGATTCTGTTGCGCCAGCCCACAATGTTTGCAAAAGGTATGGGCCTTGCTAAGAGCTGCTGGTTTAATTTGCTCAAAACCACTTCTAGCTATTGATCTGAAAAATTGGTTTACATACAGTTTAGATATTTCAGAAGGGATATATAGCATATTGCATGTTGTCCATATAAAATCTCAAGCAGACAGGGGGGGGGGCTATTTAAGAACATGACTCGAGTTTGTAGGTAAGTGTTTCGGTTTTGTATTAATTTACCGTATTGGGCTCAGTGTTCTCCTTTATAAGATTTTCTTAGTCTGATTCAAAAGTCGAGGTGCGCATCGTGAAAATTGTTCTCACAAGCAAGTTAAGTGTCGTTCTACAGCAGGTGCTCATTCATATGTTTCCTCTATTTGCAATTAGCAAGCGAAAGCTCCCGGCTAGGTTACTGAATAAAATAGCAATTTCTTCTTTCAAATGGTATTTGGCCTTCAGGTAAATAGCGAGAATGAACCTATCCTAAATCGTTAGCGATAAAATCAGTTTCATACTGATATATTTGCAAATTTATTCAAAGGTAAGACTGGAAGCTGGACCAAACCTGCTGGCTTGTATTATATTCTAAAGAAGGGGTAGATAGAATTGGAGTAAATACTGCAAACTACCACACTAAATGTGCTTTAGTCACGCAGGAAGCTTTAATTAAATCTTATGCATTTGAATGGAATCAAAAGATATGATTTGAATCTGTGAATAATAAACGATGTATTTGTTCAACTAATGATTTCATTGAAAACACCATTCACCTTCTCATCTATATGCAAAATCTATGTGTGTGTGTGTGTGTTTGTGAGGAGGTGATGAAAAATTCTTTACTCGACCCACTTACCAACATCTAACAAAATGATCAAACGAACTTGTTTTGTGTGTGTGTGTGTGTGTGTGTGTGTGTGTGTGTGACGAGTTGCTAAAAAGTTCTTGACTCGATTCACTTCACAAAATCTGACAAAGTGATCAAACATGAATTTCCGGGGTGGTGTGTGTTGAAGTGCTGAAAAGTTCTTGGCTTGACCTACTTCCCAAAACCTGACGAAATAATTTAAACATTAATTTGACGGTAGTAGTAGTAGTGGTGATGGTGGGGGGGGATGTGTGAGTGTGTGTGTGTGTGTGTGTGAGGAGGCACCGAAAAGTACTCAAAATTTAACAATAAGAATTTGATAAAAAATGAATTTTGGAGAGGTGGTGGGCACGGCGTCTTGTTAGATCCAAATACATTTCAACACCTTATGTATATATATATATATATTTATTAAAGACATTTTTATGTTTAACGTTCTTTTTTATAGATACAAGTATTTAAATAAATGCTCTGTTTATAATAAACAGTATTAAATAACATTTACCGGGAAATTTTCATAGAAAATATTCATCCCTTGACAGGATTCGAACCTGCATCCTATACGGAACCGTCATTTACGCTGACGTGCCTTACCGTCTCGGCCATAAAGGAGCGTTCGGTAGGCAAGGTGGAATTTACTGCTTATAAACTTCAATCTTCCATGAATCTCGTACATTCATAACTGCTCTGGCGTATCAAATGTAAACAAATGACGTCATATATTAAGAAATGGACAAAGACCGACAATTTATTTATTAAAGACATTTTTATGTTTAACGTTCTTTTTTATAGATACAAGTATTTAAGTAAATGCTCTGTTTATAATAAACAGTATTAAATAACATTTACCGGCCTGAATGTCCGAGAAATTTTCATAGAAAATATTCGTCCCTTGACAGGATTCGAACCTGCATCCTATACGGAACCGTCATTTACGCTGACGTGTCTTACCGTGGATTAAAAAGAAAACATTTAATATATATGGCCTGACAATTGTTTAGCATGAATCAGCCTGTCGCCTCTGAGTGTTGACTTCAATGTTCACTTTTATATTTATATACGTTCTATCTCTGATATTGAGCACTTTATCCCATAAATATAGCACACCTTAAAGCTATATTTCTTCATATATATATATATATATATATATATATATATATATATATATATATATATATATATATATATATATATATATATATATATATATTAAATGTTTTTTTTTAATCCAACATTTTTTATTACTGAAAACGTTGTTTTTATTACTTACACGTATTTGACTCACTTTCCATGTTTTTTTTCCCGTTCTTAGACAATGAAATTAAAGCCGGCTTAAATCGAGACGTCCTACTAAAAAAAAACAGTTTCGCTCACCAAGAATCGAAACGGTACACCTGTTTCACTCTGGTAACCCACTCCTATAACCGAAGCGTGCGGTTACCAGTATGGCCACGTGAGGTTATCCTGTCATTTAACTTTGTATTATCAAGGTGATCTCCCTTTAATACAATTTCGATTCCTGTCGGTCGGCATATTTTTCTTTAGTAGGATGTCTCGATCTAACCCTGTTATTATGAATTTTATTAGGAAAATTAAAACAGGGACAGCAACGCAAACAAGTATATCAACTAAGATAAGGTATGTAGTATTAGGTAATTTATATATGTCTATATATACAAGTGTATTTCTATATCTTTATATATATATATATATATATATATATATATATATATATATATATATATATATATATATATATAATTTTATATAATTATACAGACACACACACACACACACACACACACATATATATATGTATATAATATATATATATATATATATGTCTGCGTGTATATTCTATATACCGTACCTATGAACACTAATAGGTATGTCCCATAAATACGTTGGACACTGTTGTAAATGGGGGGTAATATGCTGCCTAAGTAGCCCACCACTAGCAGTGGTTTACCTACTTCACGCCGCTGGCGAGTATTGCATTTTGTTGATGTTATATAGATTACCATTTCATTTCCAACATCCGTTTTGGTTATTCCTCATTCAGTAACCTTTTCTAGGTTATAAGAATGAATCTATATTCTACATTTGGAACGAAACGCATTGACATAAAAGGTTTTCCTCTTCTCATTTCTTTTATTAACTATTATATATACACACAGAATTTTGGTTAGGCACCAACGAAAGTTCTCAATTAAGATTTAATTAAGACATTTTTTGTTGATTTTATATTTCTTTCGGGTCTTTATGTGGTTTCTGCTGAAAATTTAAATAAAACTGTCTAATGTATGAGTGCTTTGTGAATTTATAAATCATTATTAAATAAATTTTTGTTTTATGCTATGAAATTTTCTTTTTTTTTTATCAATCGTGTCTTCTTGCGTTACGCCGGTTTTATAATGTATCGCGTCTTCACGCATCATGCCAGTTTTATAATGTATCAATCGAATTGAATATACTGGCCGCTGGCCTGCCAGGCTCTCTCAACCTTCACGAATTATTTTCTCTTTATATATCTATCGATGCATCTATGTCTGTATGTCTGTGTGTGTGAGTGAGAGAGAGAGAGAGAGAGAGAGAGAGCGTGTGTATGTAACGTGGTTGTCGCCTTAGTTTTTGAAATGGCCCGTTCTGGATTGTTTTAGCAACAGACACACATATCATCCATTTGTCAAAAAATATTTCTTTCTCCGCCAACCCAAACCCAATGTAAATAAGAAGCAAAGAGAGACCAATAGACAAGAAAATATCCGTACACCAGCGAGATTATAATGACAGATGCTCGTATGACAAAAATAACACTCACTCAGTCTTTACAACAATTAACCAGTGACAACCGATCGTAATATAACTGGAAGATGTTTCTACCTTGAAACTATGTATGCCAACGATGTCATATACAGAACAAAATATTTCCAAAAGGTGCTCAACACCGTGGTACTCAACCATAACACATACACACATAATATATATATATATATATATATATATATATATATATATATATATATATATATATATATATATATGTGTGTGTGTGTGTGTGTGTGTGTGTGTGTGTGTGTGTGTGTGTGTTAAGAAATATAGTTTTAAGGTGTACTAGGTTGTTTCCTGTTAGACGCAATCGTCAGACCGCCAGACAATTGCGTCTAACATGAAACAGCCTGTCGCCTCTGAGTGTTGACGTCAATGTTCTTATATATATATATATATATATATATATATATATATATATATATATATATCAGAATAATAAATTAGGAAATCAGCTCATTCCGCTACTTTGGTTTCAACCATTCAGTCTCTTCAGGCGATTTCGATTAATTGATTTCCAAATGCTTTACTTTTTGAAAAATAAATTTAATGAACGTTATATTATTTAATAATAAATAAATAAACGCACAAAGTGAGGTGTTGTAGAAAGGAGAAGGAGGGTGGAGGAGGAGAAAAGCAAGGGTTTTGGAAATGTATCGGTGGCGAGTTAGATGAAACATACATACTTTCTTTTCATCCCGGTTCATATGAACTCAAAAGGAACTTTTTAGTATGTATGCTACGTGTATATAATTTCCGATCTCTCATTCAAAATTTTTTTGTGGGTGTGGGGAGTGTCTGGTAATGTTATCGTAGCTAACTTTTCTTGTTGACAAAGATTGCCGATATTACTGCCTGGCGTTGGCTTAGGGGCAGCAGGTTCGCAACCAATTTTAGAGGGCATATTTTTCTTTAATAAGATTTCTCAAATATTCAGACCGATAGACGAAAATAATTATACTTTGTAATAAATACACAGAGCGTCTACTCAGATACGAGTATCCACTAAAAATAACGTTTAAAGTGATAAAATCTATCTAATTAATGAATGCAAATTCTGTTACTTCTTTAAAAAAAAGAGACTGATATACATCATTCGCAGACAGTACTGTTTCGCTGTATCACAGCTCCTCAGTGCGACTAGACATCCGAATGCCTCAAGATCGAAACCCAACCGATTTGGTGTCAGTCATAGTTTCTACCACTGAGCTATCTTCATTCGAGAGAGAGAGAGAGAGAGTTAGCTAAATCTAGCGTATTGTTTTTTACGAATGTAAGCAAATGCCAATCATCCGGAGTGCTCCAATTCATTTTACTGAAGAGCTATGCAGAATTTTTTAAGGTATGCTATGCTTATGGGTAATAGGGCTCCATATCCGGGATAGAACGTATGTAAATATAAAAGTGAACACTGGCGTAAAAACCGAGTGTCGACAATCTGTTTCATGACTGGACGTGTATATACATGAGAGAATATGATATATATATATATAATTTTCTATATATCAGAACAATGATAGGCATTTGAATTACAAAACAGAAAAACGTCTATATAATGCGTTTCATTCTTTAAAAACCAACAGCGATAAGAACAAAAACAATAGTGCTGGAAAAACGAATGAGATCGGTTCAATTGTACGTCTACACACGTTCGACATAAAAAATTTGAAACTGTGGAGTCGATCAATGAGAAATCCATTGAATATTTATTGATATGTGTATCAAAAATAGGTTATTTTTCAAACACAGTCAGCACATTGTGGCCGTTTTCATAGTTAATGTTCTTGAGTGTTGACTTTTTCTTGTATATTATTACGGTTTCCATTATTTTATTCTTATTTTCATCTTTTTTTACATATGGATGGGAGTAGTATGCTTATATTTTTTACTAGTATATTTCGGACGGAGTCTGGTAGTTTTTGTGCATGTTTAACTGAGTCCTAATTGAGCTATGGTCGAGGTGCAACGTAAGTCGTCTGGATAGGCATGTAGTAGTGTGACCGATGTAATTATTTATGCGTTTGCTTCATCAGAAATGCAGTTCCTTAAGGGTCATTTGAAATTGTAAATGCCACAATGTGCTGGCCATGCTTGTAAAATAAAACATTCCTATAACTCTAGATACATACATAATATGACCCATATATTCAGTTAAAAGTAAAAATAAATTCAGCCTTGATAATGGCTAAAAGTATAGCCGAAAGCACTCGCACATGCAGAACATCTGGGCAGTTTTTACAGTCTTTTCGTGGCCAAACTGGTATAGGCGCACCGGTATTAAACGATTGCTCTCTCCATCTACCCCGAGACATGCTGGTTCGATTTCTGTTGAAGTGCGCAAAATTATTTTAATAAAAATTATCGAAATTGCCAGCCGGTAGGTGAATATAAATAAATATACTGTTTAATATATAAACGCAACATCTACTCAAACACGATTATCCACTAATAATTACGTTTAAAGTTTGTTTATATATATATATATATATATATATATATATATATATATATATATAAGGTACGGTTCCAGTCGAATCCATTACATTCGATTACGCGCTAATATCCTTGGGAAAGGTGTTAATCTTCTTCTTCCCTCCAGCTATGGGTAAATAGCAGGACAAACTGGATTCTATAATCTTGGAGGGTAACTGGTCTAGGAGGACAACTTTAAATTCAAAACCTGCGGAGGGTCGTTTGGGGACCTTGTGGCACGTAGTGCACCCGGTCTTTGTATTTGGCCCTTCAAAATGGGTGGTTGGTTCTGCACAAATCCTTCACCACTATAATCAAATCATATGTGCTGGTGTCTGGCTGTCGTTTCCTAGGAACTGAGCTGCTTGACCCTCATACGTCGAATACGACGGGAGAGTCCACCATATACATATACGCAGAGCGAGAGGTAGAAAGAAGAAGCAGTGAGTGAGTCTATATGAAGTTCTCTTTCACTGCATATATGTATATATCTATGCCTACATATGTATAAACATATAAATGTAAATGCATGTCAGTGTGAGTGTGTGTTTGACATATGTATCAGTGCGTGATAAATTCGCCCTATCGTTCAAATCTCCAATATCCTATCAATATTGCAGACACAGAGTTTGAGTCATGCGGAAAATGAACGATCTTGGTTAAGAACATGTAATAAACATAACTCTGTCGTCCTTCTTTCCATGAACTGCTTTTCTTCCACTACGCTCGTGTAGTTGTTGCTGTCGGCATTAACCCGTGTTGAATGTGTCATCTAGCTTCTTATTGACTATATAGTCTACCTTGCGGCCATAATGTTGAACTCAGCGCAAACCGACGTGACATTGACTGTTCGGTGCGACCGAATAAATTTCTTATTGCTTTAGGTAGGTGTCAGATTAAAGACGCAGAGCGATCACTTCGATCTTGAACATAATTCATTTACTTTCCTCTTTATCTTTGTTTTATCTCAAGGCACAATGGCTGCTTGGCGGTATTTATCGTTTAAGTACTTATAGTAGTCTTCCAGTTGGTGGATGAATTCCTATATTTATATATTAATTAGAACCATCCGTAAAAATTTCTAATTGATATCTCCTTATTAATGATGCTACGACCTCATGGTTATCGTCGCGGGAAGCAGAATCAGCGAACCGTGTTCAAGTCTCGGCCTAGCCTGTTGCGTTCTCTTTCGCAAAGTTACCCTCAAGAAATCTATGTCTCTTCCCTTAACACCTATTGATTAAATAGTATAGAGTTTGCATTCTAGTCTTGAGTGGCAACCAATCTAAGAGAAAGAAAATTCTAAAATCCAGACCATAGAGAAAGCAACAGAAAATTACTCGATCTTTACCCCAAAACATGAATATTCCCAGGTAATAAAGAAAAAGGAATCTGTCTCGAACTGTTTGTCGTCTACATTCTGAAAATATATGGAATTTTTTAATTGAACAAGTTCCGCCTTCTTTTTCTCTTTCTTCTTCTTATCTTCCCTTTCTTCTTCTTTTTCACTTTTTCTTCTTTTCTTTTTTCTTTTTCTTTTTCGTCTCCTTCTTTTTCTATATCTTCTTCTTCCTCTTTTTCCTTTTCTCCTCCTTCTTCTTTTCTCTTTTTTCTTCTTTTCTCCTTTTCTTCTTCTTCTTTTTCTCTTTCTTTCTCTCTTTTTCTCTTTCTTCTTCTTTTCTCTTTTTCTTCTTTTTTCTTCTTTTTTCTCGTTCGTCCTCTTCTTTTTCTCTTTCTTCTTCTTCTTCTTGCTACGTCATCATCGTGCGCCACCTTATCCTCAAATATTTCTCTTTAATTTTGTCCCTCCCGCTTTCTTTCCCTCTACTTCGCTCTTCCTCACTTTTTAGTTTCCCTCTCTTTTTCGTGTCTTCTCTTTCCATTCGCGCTATTTTGATCGCGTTTCTTATATTACTTCAACTTGGATTTTATCAACCAACACCTGATCTTTGATCCATGAATCATTTTTCATCGCTATCTTTAATCGCTTTTACCTCTTTCCCCGAGTTCTTTGTTGTAGCCTTTCTTCTCTTAAGCCCGGAGGACCTTCTTTAAATAATGTAACCTTCATCTTACCATTATCCTTTGAGATCACGAGTCGTATGAGCCCCACATGTCCTGCAGTTGCGGCTTGTAGTGGCGTATTTTGGGCAAGATAACCTGACGAAGCTCAACCCTTTCGAGAATGATTTGAATTCAGAGTTTTACTTCTCTTTGACTGGTTGCCAGCCATAGAGCCCAGAGATAAATATATATATATAATTAAATATTCTTTTCTTGCTGATAGAATTATTAATTTTTTTTACTCCTGTGGCAATGGAGACTTCTGGGGTTATTGGCCCTCGTTCGATGGCGTTCCCTCAGAGGGTGAGCGGGATGGCGTCTCGATTAAGGGACGATCCTCGCGAAACGGAGTGGCTCTTGCAGCGTGTTTCACTAGCGATGGTTCGAGGTAATGCTTTCTCCATCATTGCGGCTGGCAGAAGATAGAAAAAAAATTGATTATAGTTCAAGGTTTTTTCAATAAATATTACATATTTAAATTTAAAAAAGAGTCCAGTCTGTCTTGCTATTTACTCATAGTTGGTGGTCTAGAAGAGATAGATTCCTCCCTTTCCCAAGGTTATTTGTACATAAGTGAACGTAACAAACCCGACTGGAATTCGAACTCAGCTCTCCAATTTCTCATTGCGAGCCACTGTCCCTCACACCACCGCGCATCCTTTAAGTGTTCAACTTTAAAATTATGCGGTCAAACTTTTAAATATTCTTTATCTCGCTCATCTAGATCAAAAGAACTTTTAAAAGACCACTTAGGTTTTATTTTCATGACATGCCTTTCTTGCATCTGCCTAACTGGTTACCTGTGAGTCCACACCAGGCTTGAGAGATCCTGTTAAGCCATCGTTTATGAAAACATGTCATAATAAAAATATTTCTGTGATTCCTATCTTGATCGTCAATGAATAGATTTATTAACAAAGGAAAAAGTGAGAAACATACTTAGAAGGCTGTTATGATCCAAGGTTAGGACCAAGGAAGAACAACACGAACACAAGAGTAGAAATAACAAAGGTATATTACACGAAATAATAATACAAGATGTGGAAGGTGTTAGTATGACTGTCAGTCTGGTTTGGAGTGAACTACTATCAGCTCGACTCGATTCGGTATCTACCCGTATAAACGGGATCGGGTTGGTCAAAAACGAGAATCTGCCCTTCGGCGGAGCCTTGTCCGGGATCCTCTCTGCTCAGAGGCAGAGAGTTCGACCGTCAAGCCGAGAAGCTCGGCTCGATTCGGTATCTAGCCCCCGCCCCCACTACGAGGGTTGCATGTGGCAGAAGGCTGTTTTTAAAGTGGGTTTCCCGAGCCCGTAGGCTCGGCCAAAAAATGCCCGTAGAACCCGTATAAACGGGATCGGGTTGGTCAACCTCCCCGAACGAGACTCTGCCCTTGGGCGGAGCCTCGTCCAGGTTCCTCTCTGCTCAGAGGCAGAGAGTTCGACCGTCAAGCCGAGAAGCTCGGATCGATTCGGTATCTAGTCACCCACCCACGAGGGTTACATGTGGCACAAGGCCGAGTTTAACGTATGTTATTATAGCCACAACGTTTCGGTCGAATAGCCTGAGAGCAACACACGTTTTAACAACTTCTATAACATTTTAATAAGGATTGATGAAAATGAAACACGTCAGTAAAGTAATCTTTTATATTTCTTTTCATGCTTTATTTTGTACTAAATTTCAACGTAAAGCTTGAGAGCCGCTCAAGTTATAGTTTTAAAGTCAAAATGGAGGAGGAGTTTATAGAAATATGTCGATTGACCCTTGTGATTCGTAGAGATCAAGACTGAAGTGTTCAGAAAAGAGGCCACGCGATATGAAAACGGTGCAAACATACTTTTTAGGCAATATCCGATACACAATATAAAAGGAGTGTTTATCTCTAATATTCCCTTGTTTTTCACATATGATTATTGAGAGATCAGCACATCAAGCCTTTAAGCCGATTTGACTCCCTCAGAATCATATTTTTTCAATACGTAGTCGATCATGGTTCTCCACGATTTTCCCTTTTGCTTTAATATCAGAGAGTGCAAAATAGTTTCTTGCTGACTTTTACACGCTTTTAAATTTACTGCTGTTCTTTCTGTTTTGGTTGTCCTATCAAGACTAGAGAGTCAAGTCCGTCATGCTATTTTACTCATAGCGCAGCGGGGAGGCAAAGAGATAGACGTAAGGATTTCATTGCTAATATAGCTCAATGGCCTCTGCCAGAGTTTCAACTAGGCTTCCTAGTTCGATTTTTCACGTGTTTAATCGTTACGTCAAAGGCATATCCATATTAAAAGTAAAGCGTGATCTTTACTTAATCGTAAAAGGTCAGTCAGTTAAATGCCGTACAAGATAAATGTTTGGGCTAACTAGGCAGAAGATTTTCCCGCAGTATGTTGTCTTTTATTTCTGCAGTAGACTGGTTGCCGACCAAACAAAACAACCATTCGCCCTTGCATGGAGTATTGCTGCCATATATGGGCTGGGGCACCTTCTGCTTACCTCGGAGTTCTTGACAAGATCCAGAGACGGATATGTAATCTAATTGGCCCTGATCTAGCGTCTCGTCTGCAGTCACTCTCTCACAGACGCGCCGTCGCCTCTCTCTGTCTTTTCTACAAATACTTCCAGGGTAACTGCTCTGACGAGCTGCTTTCTCTGGTTCCCAGACTCCATGAATTCAAACTTACACTGTAGAAACTTTCAAATGTAGCCGTCTCTTCTACTCCAATAGCTTCATACCTTGCACCTCTCGCCAGTGGAACACCCTCCCCAATTACTGTTTCCCTGAGAGCTATAATCTCCAACTATTCAAATGTAATGTCAATCGACATCTCCAGTTACCTTGATCTACTCACTATCCCTCTCCTCATCCTTTCTTCTATCATTTCTATCTGCTCTCGCTCCAAATCTTCCGCGACCCCCTGCATCCTAGTGGCTTCACGCCTTGCTCGGGGCGTAATGCTTAAAAAAAAAAAAAAGCTATAGAACCCAGTCTGTTCTGTTATTTAACCAATAGAAAAAGGGAGAAAAGATGGATTCATAACTTTCCCAAGGGTAAATACGCGTAAGTGAATTTGACAGACTCAACTGAATTTGAACTCCGATTTTTCATTCCGAGTCGAGAGCCTTTACACCACAACGCACATAAGTATCTTTAGAAAGAAACTTAAGGTAATTATTTCCCAGTGAAGAAATTCATAGGATCACCGAAGTTAAGCAACGTCAATCCAGTTCAGTACCGAAATGAGTGATCGCTTGTGAATATCAGGTGCTGTAAACTTTTATGTGCAGGTGGTGTAATGGACGACGGTTCGGAGAGCCGAGTTCCAATTCCAGTCGATTTCGTTAGATTCTTAGGAAAGGTATGATTTCACCGCTTCCCCCAGCTACAGGTTAATTAGTAGAACTTGTAAATCCTTTATATCCCTCCACCAAATTCTTACAATTTAATAATATTTTTTTGGTTTTAAATAAACTGAAAACGTTGATAAGCTAGAAATAAAAAAAAATCAATCAAAAAATTTAGAAGCAAGCGCCTATCAATAATAGAAAGATCTATAACATTTAGTGGACTTGAAAAGTCTAATTTTCTGAAAAACTCTTTTAAAAGATTTTATGAATTTTAACAGACAATAATACTAATTGTTTATTTAATGGATACCGAATACTATATATCGTATATACGCGCGTATCATGCGACTTTTGAAGATATAATTTTGAAGTTAATTTTAAGGGGGTCGCATCATACACTAGGTATATACCGTATAGTATTTTATATCATTTTCATACTATTTTATAGTGCCTGTATGGAAACAAATAAAGGTAAAAAAAATACGTTTTACCCATATGATCATGGTGTCAGTTAAAACTGACGCGTTATTTTATTTTAAATATCTAAACTATAATTGAAAATATAATTTTGGAAAATGAAAATATCACTCAGATATGTTGGAAAATTTCCAAATTTTCATCTAAAATTCAAAAAATACGAATTTAATGAAATTGGCCAGAATATATATGTAAAAAACAGAACAAAGCGTTAGTTTAAACTGACCCCAGAGTGCTATGTATTAAGTAACTATAAAAGTAAAGAACAATTTTGTCCATGTCACAAAAGCAAATGAACTGAAAACGTTGATATTATGACTAATCTTAGCGCAATCTGGTACAAGGTCATAAGTGTTGAGATTTATTGTGCTCAGTTTTCTCTACTACAGAGTTATGATTGTTAATATTTACGGAACTTAATTAATGCTATAAAATTGGCATATTTATTAAGCAAGTGGAAATTGGGCAAGAAAAAAACTTTGTCATCATAAATGGCAATTTGAAAAAGAAAATATATATTGATAAAAAATGGTGAAAAAAACATGTATATTCATATCAAAAACTGGTAACATTAAGAATTATGCGTCAGTTAATATCGAAATTTAATTTTCTTGTAAAGCTTTGCTAATATTTCCTATACTATTAGAATCTATTGCTGGTATTTTTACTACAAAAATTATTTTTATATTTTTATAGTGTTTCGACACCAATTTGAGGGATTCACTATTTGCCCCTATCTGGAGGTACCACGCCGGGTGTGGGATGGACCTGGAAAAACAGTTATTAAGAGGCACATTAAAACACAATAGTTATTGTTTTTTTTTTACACAAAAAAGGTTTAGATTTGATAGTTTCCAAAACTTTCAGATGAACGTCTGAATTCGATCAACTTATACACGGAATATAGCTTCATGATAGGCCAAATTACAGGTTTGATTATTGATTAGGTTTTCAGACTTTTTCAGATTGTAGACACGGATGTACACTTGTATAAATTCTGAATCATATTCTTAGAATAAAGAATTAGTTCACGATAGACTGAAGTTTTAATAGGATTG